AAACAGCCCCAACACCAATTCAAAAGGAACCCATCAAAATATTCTTCTTCAAAATCTTTATTACATCATATCCATGTAAATAGTCATTTCAAGTCCAACAAATAAAGAACATAAAATATTAAAGAAAAAAAAACAACTGAAATCCACACAATTTCAACACATTTGAATTCAAAACATATTAATATGTGCTTATAAAACAGATCTGAAGAACACAAATGGAATTTTGCAAAGACAAGTTACAAACACAAAACTAGTCCCTAACAATTAAAAAATATATATATATCTAACCCAATCCATTAGAGTTTTCTCTTGTCCTTTGTGCCTTTATAAGCTTAACTTATAATATATTACTATTACTGCACTTTATTCTTACCTTATTTAAGACTATTCATATGGGGTTTAAAATGTAAAGTATTGTACAGTTGTTTTTTATACTTTTTTAAAGTTTTCAATTAGCTTTGTCAACAAACTGCATGGACAATTTCTATCTAAACCAAACCTTCCATATCAGAAAATAAAAGTTGATATTATTCAAAACAATAGACTTCAGTTAACAGTAGATACAAAATGGGAAAAATCCAGAGAAAATTTGGAAATATTAAATGGAATTCTGTTCATCTTTAATAGACCATAAAAGTAATTTTAATCATAACAGACCTTAAACTGATTTCTCTTTACACCTCGCACCATAATTTCCATCCCTGTCTGGTCCATGGGAAGCTTCCCATTTCCTGTGGGATTACGATTATTAGTGCCAGATTAACCTGAGGTGTCCTAAAGGGTGCTGCACCTAAAATGGAGAGACTTTTTAAAACTTCCTTTTTAACTTGTGATATTTAACAAAAGGTTGACTTGGACACTAAGTGAAGGATAGTGATGATTTGATGATTGGTTGGGCAGAAAAATGAAACTGAAGTGCTCTAGAGAGAAAACTTTTAACAAATTCTAAACAGACCATAAACTTAACTGTTTTAAAAATTTTTCATCACCTCAAGGTCCATTTTTTAAAGACCTTTTGTGAATCTTATTTATTTAAAGTCTTTAAAAAACTATTTCTTAAGGGACTATTCATATATTAAGTGTCCATATGAGAGAAAAAAATATGTTATACCTGCTTGTTGCCTCCGTACATTTTTGGACAGTTGACTTTATTAAAAATATTAATTGGCCAAGTTTAAGGACTTTCAGGATTATTATTATTGAAAAGGTAGTGTAAATAAATGTACCTCACACTATTGCCTGGACACCTTTCCCTACCCCATTCATATGCAGAATTAAAAAACACTAACTCCCATCTCCCTCACTGCACATGTAATAGATGGATGGCCCCTAATTGAAGCTATGTGGTAAGAAAAACTGCTCTGCCTATTTTATTTGATTCATAACTCCCAAAATAGTAAGTCTTTGATATCAAGACTATTTTATGAATTACAGTAACATGAACAAAAAAATATAAATGTTAAAATAATTACACACACTTTGCAGAACATTATGCAGTCAAACATCTTAACATTGTGTTTATAAATATATTTTTAAAAAAAAAAGAGTATTGTTAAAGCCACCATCATGGCCATCCATGCCTTTTGGCAACAAAAAAGTTAGTCTGCCTCTAGGAATGACTAAATAAAGCCTGTTGTCCACGCTTGTATTCTGGAATGAAAAGCTGAAGCTGCTCTATAAAAAATGAAATTGAATTTCATTTTACTGTTTTTAATTTAAGTTACTAGAGTAATAATTCAAAGTAAATGACAAAGCTAATTTTTAATGCACTAAAAAAAAAAAAGGAAGAACCACAAAAATCTGTTTTTAAAACAAAGGACAAAAATAATGTAATACTTCTGAGGGTGGCAAGGACATGAAACTATTTGGCACAGTTCTTGGAAATAAGCACAATCCACACAAGTTATATTTATTCAACAACTCTTTTAATGTAGGACATGTCCTTTAACAATCTTGTGTTTCAATGAGACATGAGAAATACAAATAAATTATTACTTACATAGCTTATGTACATGATCTTCAAGTTTAAGCAAGTCAATGTGTTGGTGGCTATGTTGCCGTGAAATGAATGTTAGCACCAATTCCTTTACATTCCATTCAACAGACGACACATAATAATACACCTTATTATGCAGTAAAGTGAGCTTTTTCGGGTTACATCAGGGTGAAGTTAAATTTGTCCTGAACAAGAGGTTTCAATATGATCACTGGGATGGAATCCAAACATAATCATTAAACTAAACATTGAGAAAGTTGAAAGCTGTATCTTCTTGTTTTTTGAATGGCCTTGAAAAAACGTTCAGTTTTTTAAAAATATATTTACTTGAAATGACAACTGCTGAAGGTTCATGGCCATATATGTTGACTGAGTAAATTGTCGAGACACTGGCCAGAGAATACTTGTAAAAATGTGATGCAGTTTAAGCAAACAAAGCCAGAAAGCATCTAATCAATTTTAGGGCGGGTAACGAGTTGTTTTAAACAATGCTTTTGCAAACCTCAACACAAAATTATATGAACAATATAATTATAAAAAGAACTAACTCTAAATAAAATTGTGCATACACAAATATTTCTCTTCAACATCAAAAAAAAAAAAGAAAAAAAAAAAGACTTCACTTCAGTCTGCCAAATCCTTTTTGTGAAGGTAAGGCCTTTAGTTGTTTTAAAAAATGCTTTTGCAAACCTCAACAAAAAATTATATAAAAAATATAATTATAAAAAGAACTAACTCAAAATAAAATTGTGCATACACAAATATTTCTCTTCAACATCAAAAAAAAAAAAGAAAAAAAAAAAGACTTCACTTCAGTCTGCCAAATCCTTTTTGTGAAGGTAAGGCCTTACATATATACATATAATGTCAACATTTCTAATCCAGATCTGAAATAATGAGAAACAATCCACACTCCACTCACACATGAGCTCACTATTCACAGATGGTGGTTTTTTCTTTCTGAAAGACTCAATACATAACAAATCAAAGTGAAGGAATGAACGGTCACAAGATAAATAACTCTAATGTTCAACACGTAGCGTTACTTACAAATTGCACAATCAACATCATACAAAAGAACTAAAAGGACGATCTTAAAAACACTGCAGACTTATTCTCTAATTATGCTCCCAAATATATGTACACTCAGAAGGGAGAATAATAAGTAGCATTTCAATTTCAACAGATTTATCTTCAGAAAGTTCATCAATGATTTCAATACTTCTAGAAAAAGCTCTTGCTTGCAATTTATCTTTATACTGATAGAGGAATGCTAGCAAAATAGATATACCCATTTTTTAAAGTCACACAGCATTTTAAAGATGTCCCTAATTGCAAAGTTTTTTTCAAAATTCGTTTTGCTCATCTTAGCCCTGGAAACAAATTCAGATACAATATCTATTTCATGATTTTATGGTGATAAAACTGAAATTTTGATATTTTTCCACGATAAAAAAATTACAATACAAAACTATTACTGAATCTTAAAAGAACTCGTAACACAGATGCAGTTATTAATTAACTACATTATTTTAAAAGAATCGTGAATGATAAATAAATTTATCTTTACTCAATAAAATAAACAAAGAAAAATCAGCTTTTCAAAGACATTTTTCATTTTAAAAAAAAACTATGATTCAAATAATGTTCAGTGTAATGGTATATTGTTTTTTTTATATATACAAATCATTCATTTAAAAAGTTTAAAATACACAAAACTTTAAAGTTTAATATAAACTAATAAATTTCATTTAGAATGATAAACATAAGCCTACCAATCTGTACCAATCATATACATGTAGAATGATAAACAAGCCTACCAATCATATACATGTAGAATGATAAACAAGCCTACCAATATTTTAAATGTAGAATGATTAACAAGCCTACCAATAAAATACAAGTAGAAGGATAAACAAGCCTACCAATAATATACAAGTAGAATGATAAACAAGCCTACCAATCATTTACATGTAGAATGATAAACAAGCCTACCAATCATTTACATGTAGAATGATAAACAAGCCTACCAATAAAATACAAGTAGAAGGATAAACAAGCCTACCAATAATATACAAGTAGAATGATAAACAAGCCTACCAATCATTTACATGTAGAATGATAAACAAGCCTACCAATCATTTACATGTAGAATGATAAACAAGCCTACCAATCATTTACATGTAGAATGATAAACAAGCCTACCAATCATATACAGTTATCATAAAGAACAGATAATTCATAAAAATGTTTTTTTATAAAAAAGATCATGGCATTACTTAGTTTGAAAAAAAAAAGTTTAACTATAGAAAGTTCCTGAGAAGGATACAACCGAAGGATACAACCAATCAATACATAATCATTTATAGAACTTCTCATAACTTAAGACATAATGACAAAGGATAATGAACTGCAACAAAAAAAAGCGACCACAAATGTTGGCTTACAGGCAGCACAATTATCTGAAGTATGTGAGATTGAAAATGAGCCATGTGATGGTCAGGTGTTCATTTTAATAATGCGTCTCAGTGTCAGGAAGATGGAAGATGTACAGAGAGGCTTACAAGAAGATTAAGATACAATTTTACAAGGCACATGTATGAGGGATAATATTTGATGCCCACTAGCTAAAATTACAATCACTAGAAATAGTGAAGCTTTTAGTTACAGTTTTAGACACAAAGACATTAAAAAAAAACAAAAAACATTAACCAAAATTTTCAGTGGTTTCGATGAAACACAATAAACAGATGTCAAGAAATTTGTTTTTATGTTGCCAGAGAAGAAAGGAAAACTAGAAACCTAAGAACCTAATTGTTTTATCCTAATCATTTAACTCTGTGTAGTGTGATGTTTACACTGACAGTGATAACACCAATCACAAAAGATGAAGAGGAAGTTTTATGTGAAGATCCAATGACACTCAATGGAAAAGACACAGAGAAGACAAAACAATCAATACAACAAAGGTGTCAAATTGATTAACATAATTGCAAAAAAAAAAGCTATCCATTCATTTGAAAAAAATACAGCCAGGTTAGATTCTGTCTGGCAATTAGCTGGAAAATATTAATGCTCATGCATAGCATGACATTGAATACAGGAGGACATTTCAAAGGCTTCACTTTTAAGCAAGAGAGATGAGGCATTTAAAGCCACCAGTGCTGAGTGAATACATCAACATTGTATACATCTTAAATGACAAATTCTCTTCAAGAAGCCAACCAGATTATCAGAGCCTATTTTTTCAGAAGATTTTTTTTGTTAAATTTAGCTGAATCTTCTTGTTTTTTAAAATGGAACCACTTTAAATGGCAAAGAGATTGCTATACTACCTTTTTTTTTTTTTATAAAGTTGCGATGATATATTTTATGGGAAGGAAAAAACAACAACCTAGCATTTGCTTAAAAGATAAATCTGTAATAGTATTAAGTAATCTTCCAGATTTTGTGTAATTTAATGACCACGTAATGATTAACTAAAAGCTGCAGTCTCGCAATCAAAGCAATGTGAGATGTCTAGCATGTCAGACTTGTGTTGTATGACTTTGATGGCATGCAAATATTGGGACACATGATTGATTTCACATGCTACTCAATTTGATTCTTCTAAATGCTTGACTTTGAGACACCTTGTAATTTTATCATAATGCTTATCATATTGAAAGACGGTTGGGTTTGGTATCCAGTTTAGAAGCTTTTATAATGGATTTCTTAATAAAATCCATAAAATTGTTCAAATCAAGTTCGACTTCAGAATATTATGGAGAGCTGCTCCTTAAAAATTGAAGATGACTGTGTCCTGGAATACATTATTCTTGTATATATTTCAGTTTTACTTGAGAAATTATTATTGCAAAATTGTCTGGAGATTGGCTCGTTATCTACCATATGAAAACTGAAAGTCTTCAACCAATTACCAGACCAAAGTTGGCATACTGAGCAGTTCTGGTGGTTCGTTTTCTTCTGTTTGTACGTTATTGCCGTTGGTATTACTGTCAATGCTGGTGTGATTGAAGGTATCTTGACCCGCTCTGGTGTTGCTGCTGCTGCTGCTGGTGCCAGGTGTTGGGCCACCATTGAGCAAACTGTAGCTGGTGTTGGTCTTGTAATGACTGTCATTGCTGCCTGGAATGTAGGGCTGATAGTTGAACGGAGTGTTGTGCTTCTCTGTGTAGGTCTTGGCAGAGTCCTGGCCCAGGGTTCTCTCTAAGGCTGTCACGGCATTGGGTGGGATAAGACTTCCTGATGAACATTTTAGACACAGATTAATGTACAAGATTAAAGAGTATCATCAAAGTTTGTTGAAACTTCATCTACAGGCTGATTGTTAACTATTATTTAATTCTTCTTATGTGTCATGGCTTTACACTTATTAAAAATACCTGAATTATTGGATCATTTTTTTAATAAATATAATTTTTCTAACAAAAGAATAATTTGGAGTTAAGGTTACCCTTTTTTGTAATGCCTCTAAAAACTCGGAGTAAAGTACTGGTTAAAACTATCATAAAAATAATAGACTTATTCAATAATGGGACAATGCAACAAAATTTATGTCACTTATAACACAAATTTTTTTACAATTAATGTAAATATACATAACTCACCAACAATTCTTTGATTATCTTCTGTGCGCAAACGAATGATTTGCATACGAGAGGTTGCACTGAGGCCCACCAAAACTCCCTCCACTTTACTCCACACACTCAGCACTGATCCACTCAACACATGATAAAATCTAGTGCGCAGTCCAAAGTCACATTGCTGTCCTGTGGCTGCTTTCCTGCAGCTCCCACGCCTAATTGAAAAAATATTTATTTGTTTATTTGGTATTTGTGTCATTGGCCAATATCACGGGACTCGAGGTGGACAACAACGATATTGAAGAGCTTGTGAAAGAGCACAGTCAAGAGTTGACCATCGAAGAGCTTATGGAGTTGCATCGTGTTTCACAGCAAGAAATTATGGAGGAGGAAGTAGCAGAGCAACAATCTTCTAGCGCAATAAGAGAAATGCTGAAAGCATGGGAAACTGTTGCATTGTTCATTGAGAAGCATCATCCTAATAAGGAGGTGGCTATTCGTGCTAAAAATGTATTCAATGATAATGCTGTGACACATTTTCGACAAATTTCGAAGCGTTGGCAAAAACAAATGTCTTTAGACAGTTTTCTAGTTAAAAAGGATTAATTATTTGTCATTAATTAATATTTTTTTTACGTTTTTTGTTTCAAATCTAAATTGTATTCCAAGTTGTTACATTCCTTAACAATTCATAAGTTATTTCATTTGAATAAATGTTAATAAAATTTTTTTTTGAAAAAATGATTATTTTTTCAGCATGGAACGCATTGTCGTATTTTACATTGATTTGTATGGGAAAAATTGTTTCGTTTAACAAGTGTTTCGCTTAACGAGTAAGATTCTGGAACGAATGATGCTCGTTATGAGAGGTTCCACAGATATACAGACCTGTTTACTCTTACGATCTGGGCATAAGATGTACGATTTTGAGGCGTATACAATCTATATACTGTATGTTTATTTGTTACGATGAATGATTTTGTGATGATATTGTACGATTTGAAGAGTTTGAGGGTAAACAGGTCTGGAAATATATATATACATACACACACATATAATCTGTGGTTTTTATCTTTTCAACTTGTTCAAAGTATTGATAACAACACAAAAACTTACTGCTCTTACTCATGCCAAAACGAATTACATGAAATGAGCATTTGTCAGAGCAATACTGTCAACATTTAAGCTAACATGACACTCACAAGCATTGCAGTAAAGTCAAGCTTAATAACTATCCTCATTAAATGCTTTAAAAAGATGTTCTTTTAAAATAATTAAGCACTTCAGCTTTTATCAAATTATTTAATACTATATTATCAATGAACCCTAGGGATCAGTAGGCTACGTACAATTAATAATATAAAATAATTTTTTTTTATAATGGCTATTATATTTTCTAGTGAGTGTGACGTTATTTTTTCAACGAATATACCAGTTACATTAGAGGACATTTCATAGCTATCCTTTCAATTATAGCAGTGATGTAGACTTACAGATATTTGTGGCTGCACTGGGTTTCAGACACTAAGTACTGATCCTCCCATAAAGGTTGAGCCACATCTGGCAGACACTTTTTATACTTCTTCTTGACTTCCTCCAGAGTCTCCGGTCGTCCTTGCAGTCCTGTATTTGCTCTGTACACATTGAACATCAACTCCTTTTTCTTATTTTTGCCATGGATGACAACTAAGATGACAGTCTTCTTGCACATTCGGTCCTGAAATAGGGTTTTAATACATTAAGAGTATTTCAAAGTATTCCCCTTGTGAATAAAAGCAAATTTCAGGTGTTTAAGTCAAATGTTAAAAATGAACCGACAATAGTTGAGAAAGTATTTTTTGAATAAAGGTAAAAGATGCAATGGTTTTCAAATGGTCACTACCTCAGCTCAAAGAGTTATTCATTTTTGTATGTAATCTATTTTAAATATTTTAAACATTGCTGGACTCAAGGGACCTGTACAGTTGTGGGTTATTTAATAGTTTTAACTCAAGTCTTTAATCTCAAAAAGCTCGATCTTATCTTAAAAACTTAAACCTAATAAAATGAGAATATAAATGAATAAAAAAAGAAATTAAATCTTGAACTTATGTTAAAATAAGTGAGTAAAAAAAAAAGAAAGGAAATGTCCCTACTAAAGTGTTGATATTTACTTGCAGAGAGCAGTAAAAACCCTCATCCATGGAACCACAGCGTCGCCACAACTCGATTGCAGATTGCCATGGCATCCCTCTCTCCACAGCAAACTTTGTCAGCTCAGTCTTTGCCGTATTGGTCTCTGTGTTCCCTACAAATACTTTGGTCTCAATTTTTCTAACTTTCTCATTGCCAGATCCCAAATCTGAAAATCAAAAATAATCCCATGCTGTCATCACTATAAGAAACAAAGTGGCTAAAAATAGTAGATGAAACTTCCCGAGATGATACGGTTTTAATTTTTAAACATTTCATTAAACACAACTTGTTTAAGGCGTACACTAATTTCTTACCCATGATGCCCATATCCCAGCGACCATTGCGTTTGGCCTCTAATATAATAGCTGTAAGAGTATCTGTGAAGTACTTGAACAGCGAATTTTGTACAGCTACTTTCATCCCAAGGATACGGTTGAGGAATTTGGATATGTTGTTGAAGTCTTGAGAAACAGATGACAAAGTTAAAAAAATATTTTACTGCGTACAAATTGCCTACTGTGAAAAGTTTTCTTAATTAGCTTTTAATGGATTAAATGTTATAATATATAATTTAAAACAGTGACTTTTTTTGTAAGGACTTTTTTTTTTTTTTTAAATTTAAATCTCTCCATAAAACTACATTTTTTTTCTGTGTCTTGCATAAAGACAATTTTAATTTTCAATTTCAAAGATTTCATACTTTTCTCCAATACGGCCATGCCTGTTTTCTCGTCAACATTATATAATTTAAATCAGTGTTTTTTTTTGTAAGTTCTTTTTTTTTTTTTTAAATTTAAATCTCTCCATAAAACTACATTTTTTTTCTGTGTCTTGCATAAAGACAATTTTAATTTTCAATTTCAAAGATTTCATACCTTTCTCCAAGACGGCCATGCCTGTTTTCTCGTCAACAGTGATCATGCCGACACCTATGAGTGCTTCTTTAACATCTGAGGATGCAACAATACCTAGCAACAATACTTTCAAAGAGTTATGGTCATAGAATTATGATAATTGAGTTTATTGCCAATAAAAGAATAAATTTCAGGTGACTGCCATTCTTGCAAAAAAAGCCAGCACTCAGTCCTATCATTGACAATCCAACATTTGATCAAGTAGTAATGATCATCTATGGCAGGATTTCATCATTGTTATGGCTTGTTTTAGGCTCATCCATTAATAAAATAGCAGTAGCCACAAAAATAAATATTGTATCAATACTTCATGAGAGAGTGCAGGTGAAAGCTTAAATGTTTCATTCCTTCACTTACACAAAATGTAACAAAATGGGTTGCCACTATTTTCATAGCTTAATGGACTCTAGGAGGTCTCATGTCAGTATATTTCACCATGGGCATGTATTGCAAAAATAAGTATTATCACGTCAATGTAAACTCAGGACTTGATTGAAATTATTTTAAAAATTGTTCTCAGCCATGTGAACAGACTCTGGTAATTGGTAATTAACATTGGTGGTTCTCAAAGTGGGCGGAGTGGTGGGGTAGCCCGGGGGTGTGGGTGGAGTGAAGGCATAAGCAATTTTTGGGAGCACGGGGGGGGGGGGGGGGGGGGGGGGGTTGTCTTGGTTAATTACATAAGAAAATTGATTTTTAAAAATTTAAATCGTATATTTGTAAAAAAACATTGTAAAAAAAAACTAGTGTTTTTTTTTTTATTGTTACCCCCTTTAATAAGAGTCGAGGATGGACATTCAATTAAGTTTTATTTCACACAAAACAAAGAGAAAAAACTTTGATCTAACCTACAGTACATTTATGAGTGAGTAACACCAAAACATGTTACTAAGCTTTGCATTATGATCTGACAACACTTAATAGTGTTAACTGTTGCCTTTAAAAAAAAATAAAAAAATTTCAAGTATGTTTTCAAAGCTTCCAAACACAGTTGCTTGCATGCATTGTTTGATAAAAAAAATTGCACTGTTGATTGCTAAATCATGAAAGTCACAAGCCAAGAGCTCATCTTACAAACTATTACTAATCATCTAATTTCATAGACACAAATCTGAGAATATGAAAGATTAGTTTTTACAGAAAACCAAAATCAACAGAGCTTTCCAAACAACTGAATGAATTGAATTTCCAGACAATGCTTATTGCTAATATAAGTTTTTTAGCATCTAAAAGTTTGGAACCAGAAAAGAAAAGAAAAGAAAAACTTATTTGGGAAAAAAAAAGATTGTCAAAATTTTGAGCATTGAAGGGACTTTTCCATGAAGTGAAAAATTTCAATAAATAGCACACTATTGCAATTGATGTAGCACCATCAGTGACTGGCTGAAACCATTGGTTGTGTTTTTTATTTTGTGTGGCCTTAATTGCCAACAACTGATTGCTGAGAAACAAACTCTGTGGCGGTCACTGTTGAGGTGAATTCAATGATTAGCTATTTCTGATGCTCTGTGATGAGAAGGATGCAGATTTTGCTGCTTTAGTTTAACACTCATTGGCATTATTGCTTTTGTTGGTGCCGACTCCAAGTCCAAAGCCATCAGACAAAACATCGCTAACATTTGCTTAATATGAATTAAGCACTTGCAGGTAAATGAGATCAATCTTTTTAAAGCCAAATATGTCTCTCTTACTATCCTTCACACTCCAACTACCCCCAGTGACTCCTACAACCCCAGTCACTCCAACTACCCCCAGTGACTCCTACAACCCCAGTCACTCCAACTATCCCTCCACATTTTAGCTATCCCCATCACTCCAATAATAACTTGTTACTGACTATATAATTTTAAAAGTATAAAGTACATTTGTATTTTGCTTAAAGGTTCAAATACATAAATACCTTAATATTTAATTATGTAATAATTTACTATAGAGGGTCAGGAGTCGCTGAAGGTGAGATTATTGCCTCAAGGGGGCAGTGGCCAGAAAAAGTTTGAAAACCACTTATTTACATAGAACTCTAATAAATTTTAGCATATTAAAACATTATGAAATAATAAAATAAATTATGATATAAATTTTTCATAAACATTCTTTTAAAAAAGCCATTTCTCAGTCCTATCATTGACATTCCAACATTTGATAACATAATTATGATCATCTATGGCAGGATTTCATCACTGATATGGCTTCTATTCAGCCATTCATGTTTAATTTAAGTCAAGAATTAATGAACATGAATAATTTAACAAAAATGGTTTTGTGTGATTCATACTTCAACCAGCTTTCATTCAAAATTATAAACTGAACCATCCTATTTCAAGCGGCTGTCTTGTTGTAAATTATACAAACATAAATATAAACTCTTGATTTGATAAAATCTATTTCAAAATTTCACTTTCTTATAAATTATTTGTATATTCATACGCGAATGCAACAACTTAAATTGTGAAGTTAATTAAAGAGGGCCACTGATTAAAAAAACCAACAACCTTAGAAGAATAAGAATCAAAATGTTACAAATTAATGCCAAACATGTTGAATGTATTGTTTTAATTAGAGCCTAATCTCAGTTCTATCATTGAAATTCCAACATATGATCACATAATTATGATCTATGGCAGGATTTCATCACTGGTCAGGCTTGCAGTGCCCTGGGGTTAAAAGCAGTATTTATTTCTTGCTGTGTGTTAAGAAATATGAAAACATACTGCAACACCCTGACTTACGATTTCATGAATTAAATTATTACACCTGTTATTACATTTTCAAAACAAAGTGATTGTTCAACTTCAAATAAAACAGAAAAACAGGCGGATTTTTAATTTCTTTAGATACATTTTCCCGATTTAAATATCTTATGTAAACTATGCCAGATCCATCTGTGGCTTAACTATAGGGTACTATTGAACTGTATCTATGCTAATAAAAGTAATACTTCCTTTGCAGGAAAGTGGTTCTTGGCCTTAACAAATCTCATTCAATAGTTTTTCTTGCAAGGGTGAAAATAAACTAAAACGTATTTATACCAAGGGGCATAGTAACAATACCAGGGGTTCTAAATCTAATTAAACAGTCCCTGTCAATATTTAGTATTTGGATCCACATTTTGTTGATTATCAAATGATTTCTTTCCGAGCCAATAATAATTAGATTTATGACAAGCATTGTTTTTTTTTAACCCCCCTCAAAATAGCAATGCAGACATTAGTTGTTATAAATGCTCAACTACACTATTACAAAACAAACAATGGTAAGCGGCCATCTCTCAGTCCTATCATTGACATTCCAACATTTGATCACATAATTATGATCATCTACGGCAGGATTTCATCACTGATCTGGCTGCTGTCTACAATTCATTGGTTTTCCATTAGATAGGGATCAAGGGAATCATTTATGTGATATGGTTGCTATGTTCCATATTATTTTTTAGCACACTTAAAAAATTGATTTAATAAACTTTGGTTTGGACCAAAAGTATTTCAAAATTTCATTTTTTTAAAATTCAATAAGCAGAATTCATAATTAGCTTCCACATCTTAAACTGTGAAATGTTTTTTTTAAAAAATGAGGTCATGGTTAAAAAAATTAACTCAAGAGCAATACAGTGATAGTTATAACACTATCACAAAATATCGTAATCTTATGAATAATTTTAACATGGTTATTTTCTAAAAAGCCATTTCTCAGTCCTATCATTGTCATTCCAACATACAATCAAAGTTATGATCTTCTATGGCAGGATTTCATCACTGATATGGCTTTTACTGTGCTCTTTCAGTGGAGTTAAAAGCTTGTGAATATAAACTTGAAAAAAAAAAAATTGTTTTATTATATGTGCTTATATTTTTCTTTGGTTATTGAAAAGTGATTCTTGAACATGTTGATCCTTTTATTAAAGAGGGTAAAAAAAAAAAAAAGAACAAACTAAAGACATTGGCATGTATTCAGACTGAGGTGCTAATAAACAGTATAGTGTTCTTTAAAGCTTTAATTTAAATGTCTCACAGTCCATTTTTATAGCATTTTGTATCAATTTTTTTTAAAGTTATTAGATTAAGGGCTTTGAAGCAAATGATTTGAATTAATGTAATTTTTGTATCTGTGAATCCTCAAAAAAATTTGCAGATTTCAGTTTGAAAAAAAAAAACCTATTATACTTGAAATAAAGACAATAGGCTAAGGACATTTATTTAAAGGGAAGCAAAATAAAAAATAAATAAAAATTAGTATATAATATCTTTTTAGTTGTTAAGTTTCACATTATTCTACATAGCCAGTTCTCAGTCCTATCATTGTCATTCCAACATCTGATCACATAGTTATGATCATCTATGGCAAGATTTCATCACTGATCTGGCTGCTATCTGGTCATTCACTCATAATTTTCAAGTAGCTTATTACAAAATGAACATGCACAATTTTTTTAAAAACATGTTACATGTAGCTCACACTTTTGGCATGGTTACAATATGCATTTCAGATGATCAAGCCAACAAATTCTAAGATCACACTTATATTTTTGTAGAGAACTATCTTTTCCTTAGCATTGTTTAAATCAAACGTTTGATTAAATAAAAACTCTTGCATGGATCAAAAGTATTTGAAAATGTCCAAGTTTTCACCAAATTTAATGAGTTCATACTTAGCTGCCAAAGCTTAAATAATGGAAATAATGAAATTAGGTAGCGGCAAAAAATCAACTGAAGAGTAAAACAAACTTTCAATGTCACAATATATTGCAAGTTATGAATATTTTTAATAAGTTTATTTTATAAAAGCCACTTCTCAGTCCTATCATTGTCAATCTAACATATGATCACATAATTATGTTATGATCTTCTATGGCAGGATTTCATCACAGATCTGGCTTGTGTTTGAATTTAAAATTTAAAAAAAAACTAACATGATTAAATAGTTAAAATAACGGAGTTACAGGCCCCTATTTCTGTGATGAAAGTTCCAAATTTATATAAAGCCAAATGAAACTGATAAATGGTTTACCAAATTGAAGTATGTTAACTTCACCAAATATATTGATGTTAACACAACTTAACTTAACTACTTAAAACCTTATACAAATTATAGAAAATGTTCTAAATTTCTTGACGTTTTCTAATTTTTTTTATTGATCAGTTTCATTTAGTAGTTTTTTAAAGCTAACTGTACTAACATTAAGTGATATATATATTTTTACAAAAAAATTAACTTTAGATTTAATGGATCCTTCAGAATATCTGGTTTATTCTCAAATTTATATATATAATACATATTTATATATAATTATATACAATATAATTTTTATATATATATAATATATATATATAATATATATATATATATATATATATAATTAAACAAATTGCAAATTATTGCTGATTGCCTTTTTCTTCAGTAAGGTGGGTGTAATAATTTTAAAAGGACAATACTTTGAGAGGTTGATTCTGCTATAATATAGTGCAGTGTTAAATATTACTCAAATGCAAAAGTAATGTGCCATTTCTCAGTCCTATCATTGTCAATCCAACATCTGATCACATTGTAATGATCTTCTATGGCAGGATTTCATCATTGATCTGGCCAGAACAGGGTTTAACCCTTTACGGGGCAGAGCGGCCGAAAACATCTTTACCACTTAAAGGGCAAAACGCCCAAAAGCGTCCGTGACGACTTAGTGTTAGTGTTGTTTTCTCGTCAGCTCCGAGGCTTTGCGAGACTTCCTATTGTTTACATCCGGTTTTTCCGATAGCTAAATAGAGTAGGCGCCAGTTACAAGTATTTAATAGATTTTTTTTTTTAGTTTTAGTGGTTTAAATTTTTTTTTTTTCAAAATGGATATTGCAGATTATTTGCCGATTATTCAAGAGATAGCGGAGATTTTGCTGGATTCAATTAAAGTGACATTTAAGTGCACGAATTGACTGTAAATTGGAACTAGATGTTTATATTATTAGTAATATTAGTGAAATCAGCGTTGTAAGCAGTGTTGAATTTTACAAACTTCGATTTTGTGGCAGTGTTTGTAAATAGTAAATAGATGACTCACAATCACAAACAATATGTTGTTTTTGCAAATATTTGTGTTCATATAAGGATTAATGGCAACATGTGAGTACAATTATAAATCTGCATTCATTTTCCTTTATTTTGCTTTTTATTTCACACAAATTTGTTGACTAAAACCTTAGATAAAACCCTAAATTTTACTAAAAAACGGAAAAGTGGTGCCCGCTCAGGACATGCAAGAGGAAGTACCTCTGCCCCGTAAAGGGTTAACCAGTGTTTATCTTATCACAGATTAGATTTTCATTTAAAAAATTTTTTTTAAACTAACACCATCTACCCATTATTCGAGGTAAATTCAAGATGTTAAATAGAATTCAATAGTGGCAAGGAACTAATAACATTGAATGTAATGTAAATAAGAGTGATAAAACGTTCTTTAATCTAAGTTGCATTTATAAAAGATTAAATAAGAGAATCTTATTATTTAGACCAAAAAGGAAAGTTTTGCGTGACATATAAAAAAATATCTAATTATAATACAAATGATTTCTGAATATGCCAAATATTGCCCTGGTACACAGTCAAATATTTTTAAAAAAGGCATATTAAAAACAATATACAGAACTTAATCTTTGAAGAAAAAAATTAATTTATAAGTATAACTTTTGAAGACAAGGGCATGTAAGCATTTATTTTTCCAATTAAAACCAACATGATAATTGCAAAATAAGAAATAAAATTGCTAACCTTTAAAAAAGTCTCCCTGATAAGTCTTAGGTGGAGGGACAGCTTGTGCATCAGACTGCATATCAAGAACAGATTTCATCACAGCTTCAAGAGCCATGCGCCCATACTATTAGTAATTGTGGGAAAAAAATTCTCAATTGAAGCAGTGACCTATTTAAATTAATTTTTTTTAAATGTCTCAAACTTTTAAAATACAATTTTTTTATATTTCTTGAATAAGAATGATAAAAAGTTTAATTTATCACATTATTCAAGAATATATCACAAACGAATGTTACAAATTATAGGTTTAGAAATCTTACTTTATTGTCAATGTTAAATCTACTTAGATCTCTTGTTTCTGTGGCTCGCCTGTCACCATGCGTTAAAGCACCCTAGAAGGACAGTGAAATATTTATTGAAAAATAACCAATAAGGATATATAGTAAGATATATAGTAAGATATATAATAAAATTAATAATTATCTCATTTCACAGTGAAGAGAAGTAAACACAGTGATCCAGGCTAAGAAGACATGAACTAACTGCTTTATAAAAATGATCATCCCTGATAAATCCATAGTTAAAAAACCAATTACCAATAATCAAGTTTGTTATTTCTTGCTTAACTCATCTCTGAACTGACTTAAGTTAAAAGCATGAGACTTACCAAACTTTCCAATCTCTTTGCAACAGTAGAAGCAAATCTCCTTTCTCCAGCCAACTCAGATATAAGAAAAACATACTCTGGAGCACTAACTTGGTTTGACCGATGTGTACGACCTGGTATGTTCAAAATAAATAAGATTAAAAAAACTGTGTGAATTTCGTCATTACATAACCTACCAAATTAGAATTGCTGCCGTTATTCTCCAATGAGGTCTCACAATAAATTTTGACTAATAAGCTCATGAATTATTTTGTTGAATTTTTTAGAGTTAAATTTTCTGGTAGCTGAAACTTGTTTTGAAACACTAAGCTATTTTCCTGATGTACAAAGAATGTACAGTATAAATAAATACAATAAATTTATATGGATTAGCTCCATACAACACTTTCCTCAAAGACTGATAATCAACATCATGTCACTAATCATTGTCTAACAGGTGAGAATAATAAAGAGGTCTGTCAATCAATGCCCATGGCAGAATTGGAACTACTTAACAGTTCTAGACAGTTTGCACTTTATACTTCAGCCCCCTGTTAACCCTTTCGTTACCGATGATGTCGACGAGACGTCACCATCACCCACTTTCAATTACCAAAGACGCCACATTGTCGTCATGACAAAGAGGTAAAGAGCTTTTCTGAAATACCAAGGACGCCACGTCGACGTCATATTTCAATGGAATATATTTCTTTATTCGTTAATGTATAGAGACGTTAATAAGCGAATCGGATAGAGAATGAAAAATATCGAAAGTTTCGTTCAAGTTTTTTAATTGCTGAGTCAGCAAAAATTGATATCTAGTCCAGGTGTAATGAAAGGATTAATAGCAGAAGGAAGTATATTACAATTGTTTATCAAGAAAGAGAAAATAGTATTTACATCTTTGTCTTTCTTACCAAACTGCTGAATGGCCCTGTCGGCGCTCCATGGCAACTCTAGAGTTATGTGTACTCTCCTTCTTTGGTTAATAGCTCGTCTGTCTGCTTGCAGTGAAATACCCGAGCTGGCTGCTTCAGAGATGATGGCTATAAACTGAAATTTTAACAATAGTTCTTTGACTTTTTTGTCCTTTGATGTTTATTTTAAATCTGATTTTGTTGCTTCTAGTGGAGAAAATACCATTTACTGCTATACAATGTCAAAAAAACAACAACATATTTTGTAATTTGTAATCCAAGAATACCTTTTCTCCATCCATGAATCTTTGTTTTTCAGTTAGATTCAATATCTCAAGTGAGACGTCAGCTTCAGATCTAGACTCATATTGTACTCCATCAGTTGTAGACACAACACGAGACTTGCGACCTGTCATCTAAATTCACAAATGATGAAGACTGAGTTAAAAATAAAGATTAAAGTTTTTTTTTTTAATGAATAAATATTGAAGGAACAATTCATAGTTTTGTGATCAATTTATTGTATTTACAAAAAAAAAAAATTAAAATTTAAGGAAGTTCCTATTTTCACTTGTAGTTAACTCATTCCCTCCAGCAATGCTACTTCCGTATTTAATTTATTTGCCTGAGAAAGGGAAGTAACCCCGTTTTGAAATTGTTTACCTTTTTTAAATATTTATTTAAGCTACTAAATATTATTTAATGTCAATGAATTAAGAACAAATGCAACAAAAAATGAATAAGGTTTAATATAAATATAACATTAGTGGGGAAAAAATAACGAACAATGACCAAAAAATCGATTTTCGGCACCTCAGACGAACACATGCTACATTACGACGCGCCGTATTAAAGCACACGTAGTTTTAAAGTGAAACAAGATAAAAACTTCCGGTTTTTAATTTAAAATCCCGCTGAACCACGCCATTGCCAGAAGTCTCGAGGGATGCTAGATTTCATTGCTATTTTTAAATAGATATGAGAGAGGTGTGTCGCTATGCGCCGGGACGCATCTGGCGAAACCCATTTAGTCGCAAACGTCGGGAATGAGTTAATAAGGCTTGGATTAATGTAATTAGCAAATGTTAATGAACATTAATTGCAACCTTATAATACAAAATGAGGGATAAATCAAGACATACCTCTGCCACATTCTCAGTCCCCCCCAAATCATCTATCAGCTGGTCTAAAGTGTTGGGTGGAAGTTTCTCCCCTAGATATTCAATGCGCGCCAATAGCTCTGACTTCATTGCACTTGCTTTCTCCCAATTTCCAGAGTCTGCAATGTTAACAAAATTCCATGAAGGATTTCTCTCCGGCTAATTTTAAACTAAGTATCAAAACACCAGTGAGAACCGCATTTACAAGTAAATTTACAGGATACTGATACTAAGTCTTTAGAGGTAAAAAACACAATAATATTAACATGGATAAAGTGATCTCAAAGCTTATTTAAATTTTTTTTTAAAGACTTACGGCCATCTAGACCATTTGCAGAACTCTTGTTTAAAAGGCCAGCTTTAGCCAATGCTTTGTCAAACTGAGCATCTTCATCATCACTGTCTTTCTTTTTAGAGTCTTTGTCTTTCTTTTTTTTCTTTTCCTTTTTCTTCTTTTTAGGACTTTCTTTTTTCTTTTTCTTTCTCTGGCACCAGGGATCATCTAAATTAAAATGGCATTTTTATTTTAACACCTGAACAAAGGAAAACTTTTTAAAAAAAATATAATTAATAAATTTTAGAACATAAAAGAATTTAAGAGAGCGATACAATATGTTACAAATTTAAAACTGTAAACGGCAAAATTAATACATTTTATTTTAGAACTACTTCAATTTTTAAAAATGGTTTAGAAAGCAAATTACCATCATCACTGTTCCAGCCATTAGCAAAGGGGTTGCGCTCCTCCCCGTCACTCTCAGAATCACTGGCAGATGATGACATAAAATCAATGTCACTAATGTCTGGTGAGGAATCATTGCTCTCAGGATCACTGCTGTCATCACCCCTTTTCTGTCGTTTATTTGGAGGCTCATCTAGATAGAAACAAGAAGAAAAGGGGGACATTTTATATTCTTAAATTAATAAAAATGCAACTTTTTTTTAAAAATGTATAAAGCAAAAATGAATTTCACTTATTAAAAAGCGCAACTGCTAACCTTTGTTTTTCTTCCATAAGTTTGGAGAGTCTCTTTGCTTCTGCTTGTGACTGTTGCTTACTTGCTTGATAATATCCATTGCCCTTCCTCTAGTTGATGCAGGGAAATGTCTTTCAACTAGTGACTGAAACACTCCCCTGTTGGAAAATCAAAACTTTTTTAATGCATTACTTCCTCAACAAATTTTTTTGTCAGCAGAACTTAAAATTCCTAAAAACCTCATTCAAAGTTCTCTGTGAAAGCCCCATTTTAGCAGATTATTCAGGTGCTTTATAAAACTAATAAAAAAACTGATGGTAATGTGATGTCACTGATTTTCCAATAATTACTATGCAAAAATTTTAAAGTAGGAAATGCTCATAGAGATATGTTACCATCAAAAGACAGTAGCGACGGAATGATTGTTTTGTACAAACTTACTTGGCAGTGGACACAAAGTCTGAAAGATCACCGCCTGCATCTTCAACCTGCTCCATTGTTCTTGCTTCACCGGTAGATTGGAGACCTATCACAACACACTGAAAACATACACAAACAAGCATGAGGCAAAACTTTTATCTACAGAAGAAAAATATTGAATTAGGGCATAAACTTATTGCAATATAAAAAATATTTGTACCTTTCCACACTTCACAGCATCTCTGGCAAGATCAACACAATGGTTGACTTTAGATGATATGCATAAATATTTGAAAAACCTCTGATGAGCAGACCAAAATTGTCCCCACATGCTTTTCTTCATACGGTGTTCTGCTTCTATTAATTCTGCTGCCTTCTGGAACATCTCCCGAGCTTCAACCCACTGAAATACATATTATTGCATGGATGAAAAAATGTAGGTTACTTTTTAAAGTCACATTAATAAATCTGAACATAGTAATAGCACATGAAACGATTATTTTATTATCTGAAACTGAATATATCTAAACTATACTTGTTAAACACAACAACGATAAAAAAATATCATACCATTTCCACAGCCAAGTTATATACTTTGATGAAGTCTTTCTCCAAAGGTATTTCATCAATTCTAAAAGTAACACCATGGAAACTTAGCTGGCGAGCTATATACATTCCTCTTAATTTTGCATCCATAGCGACTAATTCCATAGCCCCGACACCTCTGAAAAAATTAAGAATCTAGATTATATTCATCTTACATTAAGGCCTTAACTCTCAAAAGACGGGAGATTGAAAAATCTGTCATATATGGCGGGTGAAAAGAACGACCCCTAAAATATATATAAAAATAATATTAAAAGGCGAAAATAAAGATTTACTATTTTGGAATGTTAAATTTCTATTTGGCAAGAAAGAAAAATCGTTTATTTTACTAGTTCTTGAAGAAATCTGGTAGCAACTTGTCCATTCATAAATTTTCCTTTTCGCCATTTACTCATATTTTGCCACAATTCCGGTTCGCTGTTACTACACTCTAAAACATTGCTATGTTTATGTGATGTCATTTATGATTATGGATGGCCCCTTAGTATTGGGCAGGGTAAATAAATAAAATAACTATAGTTATAATAATTTAAAGGCCCTAAACTTAGACAGCACTTGACTTAATTTTGATAAGGATTCATTAATACAATTTATAGTTTTCATTAATATGATGGACTGATGGAGGCATCTGACAATTATTAAATCTAAATGACTGATTGTGATTGGCAAGTCCAATGACAATTTTTAATAATAATGACTAATGAAATGACAAAAGATTATATTATCTGTCACTGTCATTACTACTACTGTCACTGTCAGATGGGTAGTACTGACTCAATAATATTCAATACTGTACTGTGTATTGACTATAACTATAAGATATGGCATATAGCTGCAGCTATTTGGAACCGGGTTTCAAGAGTGAGAGGTTGGGTTTATTAAAAAATATTTTCAAAATATTATTGTAGGGTTTGTAAGATTAAATTTGGGGTAAAAGTGCAGTTCAGGTGCGTATATTATTTATTAGCGCATTTCGTATTTTAAAAATTGTTTTATCATGTAAACTTACGCTTACGTGTATTCTTTAATAATTTGGTAAAAGTGCAGTTCTGTTGCGTATATTATTTCTTAGCGCATTTCGTATCTTAAAAATTTTTTGTCATGTAAACTTACGTGTATTCTTTAATAATTAAATCCAGGCAGTTATAGTTAACTAATTCTGGATTATAAATCGCATCTTTTCTTTTCATTTTGCTTCTAAAGAGTCTTTAAACATCCCCCAACCAAAGTGACACAGCCCCCATTTGTTTGTTGTTGTTTTTTTACCCTATGCCAGATTTTTAGCCACCTATAAGTTAGTAATGCTAAACGAAATTTTCAAACTAAGCATGTTCACAAAAAATAATGAGATTAAATTATTTATTTGTTTGAAACTAATTTGTAGTTATACAATAATTATTTTAATATTATTACGTTTCAGTTAGCAAAATGTAAACAATGGTTCTCAAGGCCAAGGCTATTATCACACTGTAACAATCAGCTGAGTTCCCTTTTCAATGAAAACTTGAAGTAAAAGTAATTTAGGCAGATTGTTTAATATTTTGAATTCTTTTTATTTATATTGTAATTTTTTTTATTTTAGCTAAACTATTTTTTTTTTATATTTTGACAGCATCTATGCTATGAAGGGCAGATGTCAAACATAGTCAATACAATGGGTTATGATGACAAAAGACTGTGGGACTCTTTGCTGCATTTAGACCAGAGGTGAAAAGGACTATTGACTATTGCTTCCTGATGTTATAACAAGAGAGGATATAAGGAGATTTTAAAAGCAAATTGACATTTTCAACCTCTACTTTACTACAGATTTGGTTGGTTATTAGTAAGCCTTGTGCGCAGGACAATGGACCGCAGAACTTTTGTGTTTTCAAAAATTGGTACCATTATAACATCATTGAAGGGGAGTTTTATCTACTAAGTGGATTTATTATGAATGCAGGACTTATCAAGCTCTTAATTTTACAAGAAATGTCCAGGAAATCCTTTTATGATGGACAATGAGCAAGGCCATTAGTACTAAGGACATATTCAAGGCTATATTGAGTTTCCTAAAAGTTTCTGATACTGAAAATAAAGGAAACATGCTGTGCAAAATTGGGAGACACTTCTGTATCTCAATGCAAAATACAATCAACTGTATCAGCATCAAGAAAATGTAGCAATTAATGAACAATTTAGGGAACAATTGACATATTTGATGATGAACCTGATACTGTAAAGCCCGAAATCTTTACATCGTGCGCCGCAACATGACAATGATTGACAATAACAAAAAATGTAATTGTGGGTTACCAAAACAGGGTAAAATGGTCAGAGCATATGTCTCAGGCTTTCTTTTTGATACATTTGTATGTTTTAATAAATAAAGAAATTGTTTTCAAGAATTTTTATGCATGGTCTTGGCGAAGGATTATATCCTTTGATCGGTATCTCGGGGATGCATAAAAAAATTTATTTATTAAAATTTGCCTTTTTTTCTTCACTTTTCTTCTCAAATAATACTTACTAATAACCCTCTAAAGGATAATATGATGCAGTATATGTTTTCCTTTGAAAAAAAAAATTATTATTTAAAAAAAAAAATAATTTTGACTTTTTGAGAAATATTTCCTTGAATGATATGTTATTTACAAATAGTCATAACTTTTTTATTTATGAGTCTATTCTTTTGAAATTTGAATATGTTTTATAGTATTGAACAGATTCTAATAAAATATCAATTTTATTGATTTAATTGGAAACACTTTTTTTTCCCCTTCTTTTTAAAACTGTGATGTTATATTTTGTCGACTTAAAAAAATATTTTTTTTGCCCAAAAATAATAAAACATCAAATTTAGCAAGGATATTTTGTACAAACACCAAGTATCAATTAAAGACCATTCAATTACCTTTAAAATCATATATAATACTTGGAGGTAGCTACAAAATTACAGTCATGAGACACTTTGAAGAATAAGATATATTCAAGGTCATTAAAAATGGAAAAATCTACAGTCTTTTGAGAGTTAACTGATCATATAACTAATTTCAAAATAATCAGTTAATATTCTATTTAAATTTACATTCACAAACATATTGAGGGATAAGATGATGCCTCAATATTGATATGAATTGTATTTGTTAAGTCCTGAATTTTCAAACAATATCTTTAAGGTCTGGTATAACAAATGTACAATCTGAGATTTTAGCATGGAGTAAATACTGTGTTAAATAATACTAAGAAAATGATAGTTAAAAATACAAAATGATTATAGGTCAACCTACCGCCTTTCAACAGCTTGGATAAAGTCATTGAATTCATTGAATGGGGTACCTTTTCCCCAAAGGCCAAGACGCGTCATGTAAGCCATATTCCTGGGCTCTGATGCTCCTGTAGCAGATGCATAAATTACTCTGGCCAGCGGCAAACGGTTTTGCAGCTCCAAAACTGTCTGACCTGTTTTCGTGGGTTTGCTTGAACCAGTTGGACAGAGGTTCTTTGCTTTATGACACTCATCAAAAACAATCTATTATGTGATTTAAGGTTTAACATGTTCTTTCACTTTTGGAGAAAAAAAGCCACTTAAACCAATCTAATAACTATACATTACTAGAAATAGCATGCCAATGGCGGCGGCCATGCGTGAACTTCCCATCTAAGTTACTTGACAAAACATCCATTCAAGTAACACACTTTAGAAATATCCCAAATAGCACTAAATTCTGTGACTATTATTTTGTGCAACTATTGAACACAGCGTTGAATACATACCTGTATGTACATTTGTGATTATTATCATGATTAATTATTAATTCTATTACTAGTGACCTTGCTAAATGTTCTTTGGATTCCTGTAGAACTAACTCTCTTTATTATCAGCTGTAGTCTGTCTTTCTTTAAATATTGAGACATTCACAATATATAATACTGATATGAAACAGCTTTGAAAGAAAATTTTCAATCAAATTCAACTATTATTTTAATGTTTGAGGTTAGCATTGATATTTCTTTTTTAAAAAAAGGATACAACACCATCAAAGTTTGACCCAAACCATTTCAATAATTGCTTCATTCTTGTATTGTATTTTCCTTCTGTTTGACTCTCGCCAATCAAAGAAGAGTAAGTGGCAAAGACCACACCTTTTTTGCAGCTGTTGTTTTCTTTGCTAGACAGTTTGGCATAGTATTTGAACTGTGAACAAAGTATTTAACACCTAAATTCATACACATTTTAATTTTTTGGGGGATTAATATTTGTTTACAATGACATATTTTAATACTTTATAAAGCACATTAATAATGACAAATAGAAATAGCTCCAGTATTGTAATGGATATTTAGGCAGGCTTGTTCAAATCAGATTTATATCTTTCCTCAACCAAATGACAAGTATTAAACTTACTTTATTTAGTGGATAAACCTCAATATGATTAGCTCCAATATCACGAAGATCTCTTTCAGCATCAACTTTCAAATCATTAGAAACACTCAACCTGGCAAAGGAAACAGAACATAATGTCAAAGCAAAAGAAATATTTTAGCATTTTATATTCTCTTAATAATCAACTTACCAAAGATAATCCACTTACCATAGAGCTCTTTTCCTTCTTTTAAGATAATTTTCATAGATGATTCCAGCAATAGTTCTGCCTTTACCAACACCAGCACCATCACCTTGTAAAATGTGAATTTAATCAGAAAAATGAACAAAAATCTGATATAATAATTTTAGGGTCATATTATATCACTGAGGCCGAGACAATATAAAAAAAAATAGCGGACCTGTTTACCCTCAAACTCTTAAAATCGTACAATATCATCACAAAATCTTTCAATACGTTATATTTATTGTAAAAAAATAAACATACAGTATATACAATCTATACACCCCAAAATCGTACATTGTACGCCAAAATCGTAAGAGTAAACAAGTCTAAAATAGTGAAGAACCCTTACCTATAAGATAGCCAGCTCGCTGTCCGCCAGGTAAAATTGTCTCATGCTTCTGACAAGCATATGTTATGGATTCAAGCTGAAGAGCAGACAATTTCCCATCCTCATCAACACCCTCATCCAAGATCCGTAATTGGTATTTAACATCAGGAGGCTCAACACTTGATAAAGAGCTGGTCTCAACCACTGGATCTGGGTGCTTTTTTCCAAAATTTACTGTACAGAAAGGGGAAAAATATGCCGGTCATTAATGAAATCTGAATTCATTCCAGCTTTTCTGGCAGATTACATTTTAGCCTTGTATCATGTTTAATAGTATTTAGTGAGCCAGTTTATCTGACAGAGGGATGGAGAAGTGATGTTCACATATAGCTAAGATTTGAACACTAGGCCATTAGCATTAGATTTTGAAATAAATAATTTTGTATTGCCTTATTTCAAACATATTAATCCTAAATGTGGAAGTGATTAAGCTCTTACAATAACTTATCAGTGTGGTTTATTTCTTTATTTGAAAAGCTAAATACCAAAGAATATGCAACTTTTAAATCTGAATTTGTTGCTTTCTTTAAAGCATGTAAAATAGCATGGATAATTGTCCCCTAAGTAACAACCAGAGGCTAAAACCCCATAAATTGATTTCAAGAAGAAATATATTGATATCTATATTAGGCCATTTTCTATATCCATAAAACAAGCTTGATTTCATAATAGCTACAGCAACAATTACTGACGTACGCTTGCTGGGTTTATATTCAGCATAGGTTTCAGCATGCCCCAATTCCTCAACTTCTTCCTCTATCTCCTCTTCATCCTGCGGAACCTGACTCAGACCTCTCTGTAAGTTCTGCAAAAGAACAGTTGAGAATCGCTGCCCAACATTAAGAAAAAAAAAGAGAGAGGAAAAAAGATATCAATGGGTGTTTTGCTCCAAAATTCAATACTTAATGGTCAGAGGTGCAGCTTTTCATGCAATCCATTTAAAGCAAGGGTCATGAGACTTTTTTTAGCCATAACCCCAAATTATTTTTGTTTAAACCAAGCAACCACTCAGTTTGAAAGGGAGAACATCATAGAATATTTAAATTCAAACTGATTTATGTGAATCTATATATAAAATACAATTACTAAAAAAAATTAAATTTTTTAACATAAGATAAAACAATAGATGACTGGGTCAAAAGTAAATGAGCTATTTAAAGCCAACTGCAGAGCCACAACTAACACAATATGTTGGCGAGTTTCTCCTTTATCCTGGCCACATGTAGTGTTGACAGAATAAAATTTTCTGCTGTAACAAGTAACACATTTGTCTTATATACTTTTAGTTACTGGTTAGCCTTCATTACCCCCAAGGTTTTCATTTTTACCCCATCTGGCGTGATTTACAAGGGTTTTCCGACCCCTGATCTAAACCTATTAGAAATAATAAAATGAATTACCTGGGCACTGTGAACCCTTCTCAATGAGTTGTCATTCCATGCTTTAGAGAGCTCCTTACTTGACATGGACATCCTTAAAGGAGTTATGCTTATACTAGTTTGATAATTTGTCACTTTGCCCCCCATATCTGTCATAGATGGAATGTTACTCAATGGTGTTTGAATATTGGAAAGAGTCCCCATTTGGCCTAATTTCACATTGACACTATTCCTCTGTGAAGGTGTGAATGGAAGCTTTGAGATCTTTGTGTTGGTTACTGGACCAGAGCTGGAAATACCAGGAGCCTGAATACCTTGAGCCGTTTTCAGGGTACTAATAATAGGATTGGGCATGATGAGCGAGTTAGAGTTTTTGGGGATATTTTGAGCTGAAAAAACAATAGGTTGATGCTGTAGGGATGGAGATGAAGGTCTTGTCACAACATGAATGGTTGCCTGAAAAGAAATGGATTTAAATAATAAATATATTATTTTTAATGATCATATGACTCATGCTAGATACAGTTTTGTGTTGATAGCTTGTGAACAGTTAATTTTGTTACACTATAAGCAGATTATAATAATTACTAGGGTAAACTTGAAAAACATTTCCACATAAATTTTATAGTAAAAAGACAGTGCAAATGCAATAGACTTTAATGAATCATGAAATTAGTTGTCATCAACACTATAAAAAGGTTGATGGGCAAATTTTTTGTATCTTTATACCTTTGATTCTCCAGAGGAACCTGGGGTGGTGTTAACGATTATTCTAGAGCCACTCCTCAGGTTTGGTAAGGAGCTGACAATTTTTGTAATATCTTCTGTACTGACTGGCTTGCCCCCACGAGTGGTCACTTTGAGGACCTGTGAAGGACCAAGAGTGCCATTTCCATTTTGAGGCTGAATAATTAGCTGCTGTAAAACACAAAATTATTATAATTAAATTCATTTTAATTAAATAACTCAGAAAACTGTTAAGTCACATTCTTTCACCAAAGCTGTATAATTTAAGTAATAAGTTTCAGTACAGTATATTTAGCTAATTTAAAATAAATTTCTAACCTGTCCTTGTGACATGCCATTGCCAAGTGATGAAGCTGGAATTCTGATTATATTCCTTGTAGTTCTAGCATCCATAGTACTGGAAGCTAAACCTACATTAGAACTGTTTGTGATCAAAGATGATCCAAATACCTAGGAATATATTGAACAGATTGTGAATATTTAAAGCAAAATTTTCAAGGGGCATTTGTAAACTTAAAATAAATTTTTTTAAATATTAGTTTAGGTACCTTAAATCTCATGAAAAAACATAGTTGGATGAACCTTCAGCTTATTCATTTTTCCAATAAATGTTTCCATGGATTACAATTTAATGTGACACATTTACACATAATGCAAAACAGATGAGATAAATGAGAACTGATGTCATAAGGATCGGAGACGTCACAGAGATAAATTTAAAAGCGTAATGTTTCCAGAGTCAAAAGTATAATACTCAAAAAATAATATTTTTAGCACAAAATTTCAACTTAACACCAAGAGATATATAAATGTATATTTTTTTTAAAAATTGCTTAAACATTAGGACAATGACACACAAAAACACTAGAAATAGAGTGAGTAATTGAAATAAAACAAAGTTAGTTGATGGGTATTAATAAAATAGGGTGGTAAAAAAATTGTGGTAGCACATACTATAGTAAAGTTTTCATGCGTCCAGGTTCACCTAACAAACTCTCAAAACTGAAAATTCAGGACTATTACATAGGAACATTTTTTACCCAAATAATAGGAAAATAATTCAAGTATTTAATTCTTGTATTACCAAAAATTAAAGAATCAAAAGTAGGGATATTAAAAAATAATCTGATTTCAAATGATTAGTTATGAAAATGAGTACCTTTGTGTTTTTTTTTTATTTATTAAAAATACTAAATGGATTTAAATTATTTATATTTGTTTTATCATTTCGTATTGAAAATAAAAAACTTATAAAGTTATTTGCCAGGCAAGGTGCTGAATTTAAGTGTCAAGTGTGTGCTCAATCACAATATAGACCATAAGTGTACTATTTTTGCACTCCACCAAATCAGCTGCTATTTGGGAGGAGGAATCCCTGATTTAAACACCTTAGTTACTGACAGTTTTGATATATTTATAACTTAAAACAGTTTTGATTGGGCATAGGCTTAGCATTAACAAAAACACACGAAATCATGGAATAAAGATGCTCTGTCTAAACTATGTGGAATCTACCATGTCCATGTATTAAACATTAAGATACATGTCATGTTATCTACTTCTGATTGATGGGGTCATTCAATGGATAAATTACTCAAAACACCAATAAAAAAACAAAGTTCACCAAAAGTTTCTAAATATTCAAAACAAACAAACCCATGGTATATAAAGTTCAAGTGAACAGCAAAGTGCATTTTTAAATATGGAAGAAATGCAAAAATAAAGTTCAGTACCTGTGGACTAGACACTTGGGTTACAGATTGTGATAACAAATGTCTTGGAATAGGCTGGCTGCGTACTTTCTGCTGCTGAAGAGCAGGCTGTAAAGTTTGCTGTGTACGAATCACAGTTGGAGTTCTAATAATCCTAAATGACTGCATACCCTGAGGGGCTATGCTTTGTTGTGCCACTGACTGGGAATGAATAACCTGTGTCGCTGACATGACAGTCTGTTGAGGTCGTATGTGTGGTGGGTTGATAATAGTCATTGGCTGATTGGCTTGTATTGCAGGTTGCTGATTCTGTTGGGCTTGATTTGCCAACTGCCGCATTACATTTGTTGAGCTAGCATCATGATGGCCAGTTGCAGCCTGTAAGTTCTGGGACAGAGTTTGTACCCCATCTTGAGATTGAGCCTGAAAAAACATTTAGCATATTTAAATGTGGATATATACGCATATGCTAGTTGATAAATTTTTTTTATTCATTATAAATTTTACTATTGTTATTACTATTACATTTACAAAATGATTATTAAGAATGACATTTAACAAAAACCCATTTAGCTTGTTCATTCCCATGTTGATTTTGTACTAGTCCCATGTTCTAGACCATCAGCGCAATTAAGTGTTTGTTTAAAATAATACTATATTAGGCCTGTAGACTGTAGAGATAGAAAGTTAAATAACAAGACCTTTAGGCCTAGAATTTTAAATGTACCCTATAACTAAGTTTTACTTGCTCTTAAATTATAAAGTCTACTAACTCAATGTTACTCAAAATTTAAGTTTGGCGAGCCAGTGGACAAGTTTTGAAAATGAGTCAGGGATCGGTGCCAGATTTATTTAATATATATTTTTTTAATTAACTATTAATATTCATATTGTGCTGACCAGCAACATAAGGCCCATGGACAGGCAACGTAAGGCTCACAGAATGGTTCTGGTCCATGGACCATCATTTGGTGATCGCTGTACTAAACTACTATTTACCTCCGTGAGATATGCTTCATTCTGTACTGTATCCCCAGTGCCATCATCAAAATCACTGAAGTCAAAAGCTAAGTCATCCCCAGAAATTCCTGCTCCATAAAGAGCAGCTGAAATCAGGTCAGGAAATGCCTGTCCTGCCTGCTTCAAAAGAAAATATAGTTTTATGGTTAAAGGTGTGATTTTAAAAAATTTCAGGGTCAGAAGCTACAAAAAAAAAAATAAAGAGTAAGAAGGAAACAATGAATAAATCAACCAAAAGTAGCTACATTGTTAACATCATCAGTGAAAAAAATCAAATAATGCTACTTATCAGGTCTACGCTCAGCTAAGAAGTAAAAGCCAACTTACTCTATCCTATACCACCCCCAGTTTTCTGTGTATGAGTAAACTCCCCTTGTTTAGTCATGAATTATTAGCAGAGTTAATTTTATTTTTTTATGTTAATACTAAATGCAGATGGAATCTTTTGATTCATGAATTTTTAAAATGAACATTTCGTGTCATGGTTCATTATAATATTTTAAAACAAGGCGATCTGGTCTCATCATTTTGAAAAAGGAATTTAGACTTTTCTGATATCTTTGGATTTTATTATTGGTGGAGCCCGCAATATAGTGTGCAAAAGTATACTCAATGAAACTGAAAGTTGAATTTTTAAAATGTTGAATATTTTTTAAATATTTTAATATCTTTTTCTTCATTTTACGCTTCTCTCACCAGTGTGTAACTGTTGCAAACATGTTTTAGTGAGACTTGAGGGGAGGAGTGACAGTAGATCGTTTAGACCTCTTGCCCCAAAAGTAGAGGGATAAAATAGCTGCTACATTCGCCATGGACAAAATGTATGACTACATGTGTAGCACATTGCCTCTTTTTTCGCTCTCCATTTTTTCCCGCTGGGTACCACAATTTTGACATGTCTACTGTCATGACAACAAAGATGGCAATAATGAAAAAAAAAAATGAGTACCCAACAGCCAACAATGGAAAAGGGTAGTAACTGATTGCATAAATTTACCAAGTAATCAACATGTATTGGTTAACCCCTATAAATTTGTAATGAGTCTAAAAACATTAAGACCCTACTTTTTGTATGCATAAAATAATAGCCTAGGCCTAATTTTAAAAATAAATGCTTTGGCTTTAGCCTCAGGTCTTGATTTCCCACTTTATAAAATAAGGCTGCGGCTATACGGACCCAAGATTCAAGAGTGAGAGGTTGGGTTCATTAAAATTATTTAAAATGTTGGATTTGTAAGACAAAATTCGTTATCAAATGGAAGATAATTAATTTGACGACTATATGTTTGTAAACTTACTTATTCAGTTTAACTAAAATAAGCTACCACAAATGACATCTGAATAGCGGCTATTCAGACACAGGTCCCTTTGGACTAAAACTAAAAAGCCACTTCAATAAAATAATAAGCCACAGTGCCTATAGCCGATAGTCTATAGGCCTCATACTCATTATAATTTTGCCAATTTCATTAGTTTTAGGCCCCTCCCTAATTTTAATAATTGAAATTCAATTTTTTTGCAATGACGACATTTATTTTTAGTTAGTAGGATTAGAACAAACTACAAAAAATGCTAAGCCTAAGGCTTAAGTTGTAGATAATTGTCAAAGTTTTCTCAAATTTGACACTAATGACACTGACCTTACTAATCAACTAACAGCATGGTCATCCTTTCATTTATTTTAAAAAGTAAAGGGCTAAACTTTGTAGTAAATAATAAATAAAGAACATTTACGGTCTGATCACTGAGACTAGTACACTAATATACAAATATGAAATAATGACAATATATTAATGGTCTGTAATAATATTGAATGAATGCCAATATTGAATAGTAATTCTGAATAGAATTTAAATAAAGGCAAAAGTTGATTGATAAAGAAAGATTGCTTTTAATTTAAAAATGTATAATTAGGCTCATGAAATTATTTTTCATTTTAGAAAGTCATTTTGTGATGCTTGAGGAAAATAAAAGGGTATCGTCATATCCAGAGATTTATTAGGTTTTGAAGAAAATTAAGAAGGTAGAAGAATACTGGTTAGGCTTAGGCTACTCAGACTCAGAAGTTCGGCATTAACGACGTCGGTTTAGGACCACGTTGGAGTATGAAGATAAATTAAAAGATTATATTGATTAATCGCATTTTTAAATTCAATATAATTATGGAATACGACAAAATAATGATTTTTAGACCAAAGCAGGTTTGTAAATTGTAATACCGATGCTTCTGTATTCATTTTCACCGACAAATTTTACACATTCAACCTCCGTGATGTTTGTCGGCCATTGCCTATTTTTACCCATGAGTCAACGGGGCTCACCGAAATCTTCATGCTAATTGAAAAGCCAAATCCTTGTCATTGCCAAACAGTATTTAAAGTTTAATATCATATATGAATTATGTGACACCGAAAGATTTTAAAATAAACTAAAAATGTTATTTGCTATCAATTCTAACAATATGCAAATTAGTTTTTAATGTAAAAAATGTATTAATGTTGTTTTTTGTTTTTTAAATACGAATGTAATTTGGACTCTTCTTAACTGGCATATCATATTATTATTTTTTTTTTTCTACTGCGTCTTGGGATTCTCAAACTTTATAAGACTGGGATTGTTGTTATTTAATAAAAATTATGTAAATAAAATAATTAGTCTTAGCTCAAAAATATTAAATTTTAACTTCAAAAGCACTATTTTACTATACCTTCTTTAGAATATAAACAACATATTCCCAAGCAAAAGGGGGCGATGGTAGGCAGTGGCGTAGCTAGGAGAGCGCGGGGAGGGGGGGTGCAGACCGCACCGGGTAACATCATCCCAGCGGGTGACACCAAATTGAAAAAATGCATATTTGCAGAGCACACTCTGCTCGGTCTAAACGAATTTCATAAAAGGATAACCGATCACTTGTACATTTTCTACATATGTAACCAATCCAAATACATGCTGTATTAAAATTTCAAGGTTGATGAGTAAGAAATAAGGCGACCCTATAATTAGGTCATAAAAACACCTTTTTGACCATGATTCAGCGCCTATTGAAGTGTTCGGTAACTTTCTAAAGTGACAGGAAGCTATATTTATATAAATTCTGATTAATAAAGCTTGCCATTGATACTAAATACAATATGGTTGGGCGATTCTAAGTGAATGAATCGAATCGGTAAAACTTAAAAACATTTTAAAATGACGTTTTAGCAATTTATAGGGTTAACAAAATAATATTTTACACAATTTTCTAATATCTTTTAGTAATTAATTTAAATGTGTTTAAATTTTAAAAAGGGGTTCTGAAACCAAATATATCGAAACCCAGAAATACTCAATATTTTCACGGATTCGTCACCAGCACCGCACTTGAACATTTAAGCACGATTTTCATACAGCACAAGGTCTTTCATTCTGACTGTGATTTCACATTTCTCTGCTACCTTTAACTTTGGGCTGATCTACTTGAAGAAGTTAATCCTACACAATAGAATATGCAGACTAAAGGATTTACTCTTGACAAAGTGGTAACCAATCTAGATGCATGTTATATTGCTTCTTCCGAAGAAGCACTGTCACTTGGTGGAACATGCCATTGAACATGCACGTTTTAAAACCGTCACGTTTAAAATCAGAACAATTTGGAATTCCTGTAGAGAGAATTTTACGATGAGAATGGAAGGAGAAAAATTGATAGATGCTGGACTCTGTCTATGAGAAGAAAACAGTATGGAAATTCTGGAGTGTATTGATCGCTTTCATTCTGAACTCCAGATCAGATCATCAGCGATCAAGTAAGTAGCAGTTATGTTTGGGGCTGTTCAAACCCAAGAGTCTACTGTCAGCAAGTGAAGAAGAGTTATTGGTGTTCGTTCCAAAATTAACCTCTTTCTATGATGAGTTATCAGAGAATGAACTTTTAAAAGAAATACCAAGACTTAGAAGACACCTAAAGGCAGCTGATATTGAATTTCACAAAGTCAGGGAGTTGTCAGTATTTGATGTTTTGAAATTTATAGCTGAATAGGACTTCCTAGAATCTCTTCCAATAATTTATCTAAACCTTCAATTGTTTCTACGATCTTAGTGTCTGTGGCTTCATGTGAGCGGAGCTTTCCAAAACTACAGCTTGTCAAGAACTATTTACGACCCACGATGGGAAAGTTGAGCTTTCTAATCTGGATTTACTATCAATTGAAAGTGACGCGGTGAAGGACATTGATTTAATTTCTGGAAATTTGTTTGAACGAATTTTCTGTCGACGAAATTTCTTTCAAATAAATTCCGGTAACCCATTGATTTTGATCAAGTTATTGACAGGTTTGCATCTTTGGCTGAAGCCCAGGAAAAGGAAATTTTTAATGAAGTAAACTTAATGTAAAAATAACTATAAGTTAACGTTTTTACAGGTCTTAAAAAAAGTAACCTCTAATCTTTAATTAAGTTGTTTTTGTTCTTGTCATTGTTATACTTTGCACTTATTTTAACAAGAAGAAATCCATCGTGGAATTCGGGGGGGGGGGGGGGAAAAAACCCAAGATTTTACCTGGGGGGTGGGGGGGGGGGGGGGGGGGGGGGGGAGACACACCATGAGTTTACCGCACTGGATGACACCATTGACACCAACCCTAGCTACGTCACTGATGGTTAGTAATGGTAGAGCGCTACACATGTAATCAATATCATGACAAAAATGGGGTTGGGACAAGTTGTGGAGGCTACAGCTGTACGATGAAGCAAAAATTAGGTCGACACACTCTGGTTTAAAATAACAAAACAAACTATGCAACGTGCAATTTTAACGGCTGGTTAATGAATAAAACTACACGAAGAATTCATTACATCATATCAGTCTATTAAAGTCTGGACAGCTCATGAAAAAAGCGTAGGCTAATTAGCAGTTTTTGCCCGATGGGTCATTATAACCAAATCAATAGGCGGTAAATAGAGAAAGGGATCTATGTCAGCACGCTCAGAGCCTTGGACAAATTAATAGAGGTAAAACACACATTTAAAATGCAATTTGTATTAAAACTATCCAGTATTAGCCTACCCTTAATATTGTCAGTTGGACAAATTTGTCAGTGAAAAAAGCACATTACTGATTATCTGTCAATTACTCGGCGCAACCCTAGTGATTTTTTTACATATTTATTTAGTTCGACTGAAACAAAGAGCTGCTAAAAAAGTAAATAAACAAAAAAAAAAAAAATTGGCATTAAATACCAACCAGTGGTGTAGCTAGGGTTGGTGTCACCCGGTGTGGCAAGATCATGGTTTAACCCCCACTCCCACTGGTTTCCGCGATGGATTTCTTCTTGGAAAATTATTTCAAAGTATAACAATGAGTTGAAAAAAAAAATTAATTGAAGGTTACGAGGTAAAAGTATTTATGAACTGTAACAAAGTTAAGTTATAGTTCTTTTTTACATTGAATTAACTACATTAAAAAATGTCCTTTCCTGGTCTTCAAAGCTTCAAACCTGTCTATCACTTGATCAAATCAATAACCTTCACCTTATAACTTTAAATTGATAGTAGAGTGAGATCAGAAAGCCTTTACTGTCCCATGGTGGATCGTAATTAGTTCTTGATAATCCTTAGTTTTGGAAAGTTCCGCTCACATGAAGCCGTAGACTCAAAGATCGTAAGAATTAATTGAAGGCTTAGCGAGAGTATTGGAAGAGATTCTAAGAAGTCCCATTCAACTATGAATTTCAAAAATCAAATATTGACCTGTCCAAAACTTTGTGTCCCATTTAGCTATGAATTCCAAAACATCCAATACTGACCAGTCCATGACTTAGTGAAATTCAATATCAGCTGCCCTTAGGTGTTTTCTAAGGATTGGAATTTCTTTTAAAAGTTTTTCTCCAAATAACTCATGTTAGAAAGAGGTTAATTTTGGAACGGACACCAATTCTACTCAATTACTGAAAGTAGACTCTTGGGTTGAACAGCCCCAAACATGTTCTTCTTCCTTGATCGCTGATGATCTGATCTGGGTTTCACAAGGAAATCGATCAATACACTCCAGCCTCTCCCTGCTGTTTTCTTTTCACAGGGAGAGAGAGAGAGAGAGAGAGAGAGAGAGAGAGAGAGAGAGAGAGAGAGAGAGAGAG